GGGAGGCTGGCCAGAGCTGCGGGAGGAGCGCCTGGTGCAGGCGATCGCGGGTCTCCAGGCCCACCCGGTAACGTGGCACGCCGGGGGCACAGCAGTTTTTGTGACTTTAATTAAATCGGAAGGAATTAGAAATTGCATTGTACCTTTATATGAAGTACGGGAAACTCGCTTCACCCGAATAAACCGAGGCGATGACAAGACGTGCGGAATAAAGAGCGTGTCTGCAGATGAACCGGTGTTAGGGAGGGTGGGCGTGTGACGTGTCCCAAAGTGGGCTGCAGCGGGAATCTGTGCCCAACTTTTGGCAGCATTTGTGCGGGCTAAGCAGAGTTAAATGCTGCGTTTGCTCAACAGCCAAGACAAAAGCGGCAGGAACACCAGCCTTTCACACTCATCTGCCCGTGCAACGTTTCAAGAGGAAGTAGGAACACTTAGCAGAACTGAGCTTACACATCAGTTTGGCAAAACGTGTAACTGTCAGCCAGCATGGCAACACGTAGTAAAACTGTCGACCAGCATGACAATGTGTAGTAAATATCCCAAAAATGTGTTTTCAAACATACAATAAATGCAGCAGGCCTTTGTGAGTGAAAACTATTATTGTACAAAACCTATGTTGCAGCTACTAAGCAGATTAAAAGCTAGCTTGTTTATAGATGTAAGCAGCTAACTGTAAACAGATTGAAGTATTTTGAGCAAAGGCACACATACATTTTTAGTCCAGTGTTCCTCAACATGCTCATGCTTGGGAATAAAATTTGAAATCATTGCTGGTAAAAGTAGTAGATGCTGAACTGAGAAGGAGACAGGGTTATCGAGATCACGCTGTGCACAATAATCTTTTTATCTCTTTATCTAAGGAAATGAGGCTTACGCAATTACAGTACCGGGTGTTTCCTTTTCCATTCATCCTTTCCACCTCCAAGGACTTTTGAACATGCTGGCCTACTTAATCATATTTGCAAATAGGTACAAATCTTGGAAGGTTAAATTCATACAACTTTGGGGAAAAAAAGCAGTAACACAGGAGAGAAGGAAGGCAAAGCACAGGTGTTAAGCAGCTGGCCAGCCAGCACAAGGTTGCATTTACTGCTTGGCTAGTAAGCACAGCTCTGGTTTGGGCTTGGGCATTTCTTGCGCAGAGAATGTATCACAGCGTACAAGGGAGCGGGGTGAGACCTTGGGTTACTGCTGTAGGTAGAATTATGCACCGAAGACGCAAACCTGAAAGAAACAATGTTGGGTGAAGTTCATTGCTTACAGAGGAGCTCGTTAATATGAGCAGTTCCAAGGTCATATTTCCAGGCCTAAAGCATGAAGTTGTGCAGAATTGGGGTAATTCTGCCAGCAATTCATGCCTGAGTAATAGTAGAGATTAATGTTCCCACCTGTTACACCTTCCTTCTGCTAGAAGTTACCACTCCCATCTGGTAGAAATAACAAGAGAGAACATGTTGCTTCCTCGTCTTCCAGGGCTTCAGAATATAAACATATGCCGAATTTCATGGTTGTTTTGAGTTAATATTCAGTTTGTGAACTAGAGTGTCTCCAGACCAGATACGCTGCCAATTTTGCTGGCTGTACTTCATGTGCAATAACCTCTTCTAAGACAGAGGGGCAGAGAGCGAGGGACAGTGACGTGCATCCAGCATGAATTGCCAGAGCTTAGAAGGCAAGATGGACAGACGGTTCGTGGTAGTGAAGTACAGTACTACAAGAGAAAATGCCTAATAATAGGATTAAAATATTGAATTTTTCATGGATGAGTTTAAGGAGAGAATTGGTCGTCTTCTAGAAGAATTTGCATGGAGAGAAGATTTCTGAGAGTAGATTCTTCATTAATGTAATAGACAAAGACATCATGAGATCCAATGACTGGAAGCTAAAGGTAGGCAAGTTCAGGCCAGAGCTAAGGTTTGACTCTCAAGGCTATCAAACCATTGGAGCAATTTCCCTGGAGGTGTGTTTGTTTAGCCATCATGTGAAGGATTTAAATCAAAACTAAGAACATAAATTAAAAATGGCTGTGGTGAGTCAGATCAGAGGTCATTCTGGTCCAATGTTGTGTTTCTAGAAGTGGCCGGTGAGAAAAGGGAGCTTGATGGGGAATGAGATGGACATCCCAGCAGTTGTTGGACTCATTTCCATTCCCTCCAGGGTATTATGACAGGTCATCTGTTTTTTGGAGAATGCCGCTGAGCAGTACCCACATCTTATTCCTGAAGTTGATGAGTCCTAACCTGATGTGTCCTTGGAGAAAAGCCATTCCAAACCTCAGTATCCATCCTTATGTCTTTTTAACGTATACTGTATATTTTAAGCAGAAGTTTTAGCCTGTGACTAAATCAGTGACAATTTCTGCCCTGTTCCATATAGAAGATCACATCAGTGATGCCTCTGGTTTCCGTTAGCCCTGAAATTATTAAGCAAAATTTGGTTGCAACAAAGTTGATGATAAAAAAGAAATTCATTGGCTTCCATGGATTATTGCAGTCTCTAACCTGAACCCAATGCAGTGGCTTGAAACTGTTTGATTAACGTGCTGGTGCCCTATCAGCATGGCCATGTTTCAGAGAGGTTAGGAAGAAAAATAGGGAGAAAAATCATCAGAGAAGTAACTGAAGTACAGCATTTGCCGTGTCTCCATCATAAAAAGTACAACATTGCATATCTGTTTCTGGGTAAATCTGGCTTTCCTGAAGACTTTGCTGCAGGTAACAAATGAACTGGTTATACTTCTATCACATTTGCAGGAGAAATCCATCATCAGCCATTTACTTGATGTTTAGCAAGATTTTGCCATCAGCAAAATCCATCAGCTGAGTACCAATGCTTCAATGTAAGCATGGCACTGTATAAGTAACTATATAAATAATAGAGATGTATATATTCACTGAGGCATGGAGACTGTTTAATAGAAGAAGAACCAGCATATTCCTCAGAAATGCGAGTCCATAGACAAATTACTCTAAGGTTGAATTGTTTTTTAAAAAGGGCAAAAAGTAGTGTGGCTGATTTTGCAGCAGTGTACACCACCCAATATTTACACTGAAGATTAGGTTAATCGATGCCATTGGATGATCTAACAAAGTACTTGGGGAAAAGAAGCTGGAGGGAGAATAAGAGTAAACAGAGGCTGAAGAGATTTCTTAAGTGCACGGGAAGTATGTCTTAATCCTTTTGGTTCTTGTTATGATCGATTCCTGCCTGCCAGGTGGTTTTGTTCATGAAGACTTTAAAACACATATCCTCACACCAAATGTTGCTGTCAGTATCCACGGGAGAAATGGAAAAGGGCTGACTAAATGTGATCCCTATGTGTGATACAAGATCACCTGAGAATTTGGGTGTTTATGAGATCAGCACTTTACCTGCATATTTCTTGATATGTATTTCAGCAAATTGTTTTTCAGCCACTAGGGAAATATGTGTAAAAAGCATACCTCTTTTAAAATGAAAAGAAACTGGTTTAAAATGTGTTGCTTGCAAGCCCTTGTCATGTTTTAGGAAGGCGTCGCATGGCAAGGAGTATTAAGCAAACATAAGGCGTTGTAAATACTGAGTGCTAAGAGGATTTTTTCGCCTTTTATTGTAATTCTTCCCAGTTATCACCAGATGGCAATATCATAACCTTAAAAGTCTCGTTTTTCTGAAGTGGGGAGCAGTTAGACATGAGGAAGTGATGTATCCCTGTGCTGCAATCGTTACAGGAAACAGATTACAGTCCTCAGCAAGGTTTAGATTTCCATCTAACTTCATCTTTTGTGTACAGAGCTATAGCCAGTATTGGAAGTATTAAACGTTAAGCCTCCAGGTTTCCATTTAAATTGTATCATTTAACTTTTTTCTATAGCTTTTTTTTTTTTTTTTAAGAACTTGCATTGTCAAGAATTCATGATGAAGAGCCTTTGTTTTTCTCTCTTACTTGTCTCTGTTCTGTTCATGACCAGCTTCTCAGAAGTGGAGGGAAGGAAATGGAAAGGTGAAGGTACAACGCAAAACCTGGAAAGTATTGTCATTGGAAGATGCTATGACTATATTAGAATTGTGAATCCTGCTGTTGGGTAAGTTTTTGCTCATTTATGGATTAGTTTTCTATCTTCTGTACAAAATGGTTATTAATCAGAAGCCTGATATTTTGCATCTAGTCATGAAAGTGATCCTATGGAAGTCAACATGCTTGTAGCTGCCTGGAAACAAAAAAAATGAACTTTGACAGATGTCATGTTAATAAAAGTAGTGTAATTAAGGCAAGGTTTTTAATCCTTCAACTTTCTATTTCACATTTCTTCCCCGACTAGTGCCACAGTGTTCTGTAAGGAGAACACTGCACAGAAATGGTGGGGATGATATTTCTGACTTGCCAAGTCTGAGAGTGTTCCTGGGAAGACCAGCTTTACTTTGCATGCCTTGTATGTCAGGTCATGTATTACAGGAAAGCACCACACTTTATAGCTATTCTGTGGTACTGAAAGAGACTGTTTAGCGCATCCACCTGAAAAATCAAGTACTGAAACTTGAAAAAACTGCTGAAGTATGATTAGCCATGAGCTTTCATTGTCTGTATGTTAATTACACATAATTACACAATTCATCATTCTGTGTGTTAATTACACAGAACTGGAGGTAAGTCACACACTTTACTAAAATGACCGCTTTTTCTGTGGTTTGTTTGGGCTTACATTCCTTACATTGTTTGGGCTTTGGTAAAAAGGAAAAATCTAAGAAGGACAGTCTCCTGGAGTTCAGTCCTTTATTCTGACACTAAAATTTTTTCCTGATGGTTTGAAGAGGTATTTGCAGAGGGGGCCCAGCTGGGTTCCTGCAGCACTGAATCATGGTTTTAAACAGGGTTAGATTAAGTTGCATAATAGCAGCAAATATCACCTCCTTCCCCCAACCTCCCATTTTCAGTTCCTGCTGCAGAACAGGAAGATACAGGACTGAAAAAACAGGTTCATGGCTTTTAACAAAGGCAAAACAATGTGTTTTTTCCTATTAACATTCTTAACTTAGCAGAAGAGTTTTGGTTCAAGTTCCCCATGAAGGAAAAAATCGTTGTCGTACTAAAATTTCAGCTGAACAATTCAAGTTTGGCGAATTCATAAACATGTCACAGTGGAAGGTGCCAGTAAACTTTAACTATAGATTTCTACACACCTACAATATAATATAAGCTACAAAACTTAAGTCAGTTAACAGTTGTGTAGGTGTATGAAGTCTGGTCTTGCAGTTCCTGTTGAAGTTAACAGATGTCACTTCATTTATATCTGAAGCAAGACATGACTAATAATACAGAATACACTCAAATGAGCAACATAAAGGATTGTTACTGTGGAAATATTAACTTTATCATTACCTAATTTGGGCTTTCTGAAACGTAAATACCATATTCTTGAAAGTATTTCTGTCTGTCTCATTTTTATGACAGTTTTGTGGTCTAATTAATTCCTGTGACATTTTCAGAACCTAATTCTAAAATTGAGATGTCTGAATACATTCATCAAAGTATTCTTGGTCATAATAGCATGAAGCCAGACTGGACATTAGGACTGTTTTCCTGAATTAAGGCCCAAGATGGCATTGTAAAAAGAAGAGCTGCACAATTAATTTCATATTATGTGTATTTTTTCTTTTTATCTTAGGTCTGTAAGCAAATAGTGTAATCTAAACAAAATGGCTATTTCGTATTGCACAGGTGCAAAGCAGATATTCTAATTATTTATAACTCTTTCTATTCATTGTCTGTTTCTTAATTGCCCCCAGGCTAGCTTTTAGAGAGGCATAGCCACCTGGATTGGTTTTGCTTCTGAATTTATGTGCAAATAGAATAATTTTTTTAAAATACTTTGCTAACATAAAAGAAGCTAGCAAAGCATGTCTTTACACTGCAACATAGTTAAAACATGAAGGTGTTTATAGAAACATAAGAAAATCTTCCCTTTACATTGAAACAGAACATGCAAAATGGCAGTTAAAAGAGGCATTTTACAAAATATTGTGGTCATGTAGAAGTGAGGGATCTGAATGCAAATCTTATCTGGAATTTTCTAGTAGGAGTATGCTATGTAACATGAATGTTCCTGTAGCGCATTTCCCCCATATTTCTTTATTGGTAATGTTTAATGGAAGTTTTGAAAACTTTTTTATAGCTGACTAGTATGAAATAAATCTAATATGACTTATTAGTGTCTATTGGAAGTAATTGTCCTGAACTACAGTCCTTCCCCACCCTTTCATTTCAAAAAGTATTTTTGCCAGCTAAAAAATTTTGAGTAACAGAGCAGAATAATCCTTTTGATTTACAAGCTGTTCAAACCTGGGTGAGAAGGCATGAGGAAAAAAATGCAGTAAGTGAATTAACCAGAAAATTACCACTGGGTTCAACTGTCAAGGAAGATGTTAAGAGTTCAGTTGATCATAATTTAGAAGTACTAGCATGGGTAAGTGAGTGCTTACAGTAGACAGCTCTTTAGCAGAATGAGATGTAAGTATATACAATTGTCAGAAGCTAAAGTTTAACAGCTTGAAATCAGAAATAGGGTGCAAATCCTTTTATTGAGTAAGCCTATTTAAACATTAGAACTACTGATCAAGGGTCATATTGCATCACTGAAGGTTTTCAGGTCAAGATCCCATATTTGTTTATGACATATTGGGGTTTTTTGTATTGTTGTTGGAAGCATGAACAGAGATTACTGTAAGGGAATCTGTGGTCTGTTTCCTGCACGGGAGCTGCACAACTCATCACAAGGGGTCCTTTAACTTTAAAGTATCTGCAACATTCAGCGTCGCAAAGCAGCTCCTTAAAGAATCTCATGAGGAAAAGCGCCAGAAATCAGAAATCCCGCTGTCGATGGATGTCGTTAAACGAGGAAAACACTCTAATGGCAAATTTTGGTTTACTTATCAAGACAACTGTTGTTCAAACTACAGCTTTGCAGTTACAGCTGTTTGCTGTTAGGAATGCTGTACGCACATAACATACGTTATTCTGTTCTGCAGAGTGTTCCCGGCATAGACATTGTCACAGCATATGTGGGGAAGGTACTGTGGGAAAGTGCTGAAAGTAGCAATTCCCTGTTTAATTGCTCCAGGCAGGCTCAGAGCTGTGACAGATGAGATCTTGGAAATCCAGAGGGGTAAGACACTTCCGTCCCTGGATGGCCTGTCCTGTCCTTCCGCGGGAGATTATTGTCCCCGAGACAGAGCTGGCAGAGGGGAGCTGTCGAAATGCATAGCCTAGCACATTATTTCAGGCCTCTCTTCGCTCGGAGTTTAAATGTTGAATCCTGACAGTGTTCTTGTAGCTACTGCAGTGACACTGCTTGTCCCACACGGTGACTGTACTCGCTCCAGCAAGGTAAAGCTGCATCATCCAGGGGCCTGTATACACAGAAGGCATCTCTATGTCAAAACCATTATTCTACCATTGAAACTTTCTAGTAACTCTTCCTGCACTTGAATCTGACATTTTAAGAGTAATTTTACATGCCAGTAGTTTTGCACATTTAGCTATGCTTTCATTGAAACGGCTTTTTAAATCTGGAAAATTTCTAAGTAAGTTGTTTTCTTTAGTATTTCTACAGTGCTCACTGAGCATGCTGTACTGTCTAAGATTTTTGTTGAATTACTGTGTATTTCGAATTCCACACTGTAAATCCTAATATTTTCATTGCTACTTCTTCCTCATCTGCTGCTGTTAGGAGTCAGGAAAAGACAAGATCTATACGCTCATCCTGGCTGGCAAGTTCTCTACCACCCTGACCTCAGTTTTCTATATTCACCTTGTAGGGGTTTTAATTTGGGAATTTGAAGAAGTTGGGAACAAATTACTTTCTTGCTGTGCTTTGAAAAAATAATTCTGCTATTTGTTTGTTTCAATGATTACAGTGAGAAGAATTGCTCAGAGATATGGGAAGCATTTAAAAACGCATTTATTAACAAGGATCCTTGCAGCATTCTACCTAAGGACTATGAATTATTTATCAACCTGTCATTGCACACAATTCCATCTAACAAGGTAACGATTATTTATGTTGTGTTAACAGTCCTGTGACATCCAGCAGATTTTCCATGGTACAGTTCAAAATTGACCGAGAGCCATTCTGTGGCTGACTGATGATTCATTATTTTTGGCCTGTCTGTAGTTTACAAACTAGACTCAGGCTTGATGGCATTTTTCGATGTGTTTGACTGCATTTATTTTATGCAGTAACTTCTCAGTGACTTCTCTATTTTCATACCGCAAAGATTCCCCCATTTTTCCTGCTGTGCCAGGGGCCTCGTCGTAGTCCCTGAGCTTCCACTTATACTTTTCCTCAAGTGCTATGCCTGCAAAGACTGTGCCTGCTATCATCTTTTGCTTGCACTCCTCACAGCCAAGTCTCAGGGCAATGGCATGTTAAACATTGAAATGTTAAATAAACATAAGCAGGAATGAGGTAGGACGCTGTCATATGCTAGAAAACAGTAAGGCTTTGATGTGCCAGCAATCTCAGAGAACTATGAAAGTGCAAAAAGCACAGCTTTTTGTGCCATCATATCCCATCAGGATGTGTGCTTTGGCCTTCTCTAAAAGGTTGTGCTTTTAAGCAGTTTTACCTAGCACAAGTTATTATTATTTACTCTAGCACAGTTATTCCTTATCTCTGAATGATACAGGCTAAACCAACAAATACTCCTGTCAACATAGCTTAACTCATGAAAGAGTTATTTCTGTGTTGCAAGCACAGAAATAACAGCTAGATATATGATTTTTCACACCATAAGCCAACATAGTAGTGTGAGAGACTTCCAGTGAGATGTATCGGGCTTATAAATATCTGCCTTCTCTTTTCTCTCCCTTTTCCTAAATCTGTTTGCTGAGGAAGGCAAAGTTAGGCCTAGCTATAATATCGGTTTGTATCCATTCCCATCATGGTATGAATGCCCCTCAAGCCTCTAGTGATCAGAATTTACACCACTGTAAAAAAAAAAAAGACTTTGTTCCTCTAAAGACATAGCTAACATTTCTGGGTATGAGCTTGATTTTGAAAGAAATACCAAAACATGTTTTAAACTGTTTTCAACGCCCCATAATCTCATGTGTCCACACCCAAGTGATGGTTCATTTCTTCTCTTTTCTTTTTTATTCCTTTTTTTTTTTTATATAGTCTCTCTTCTGGGAAAATAATCAGCTGCTAGTCAATAGCTTTGCTGGCAGAGGCCGTCGCTACATGGCTCTGGGTGATACTCTGTTTGGCTTCTTTGGAGATTTTCTAAACTGGTGTGGGCAGGCAAGCAGCGCTGGTAAGATGAGTGCTATATTAAACAACTGTCTGTAAAACCATAATGGAGACCACATGCCATGTTCTGGAGGAGCTAATTTTGCTCTTGCCCCATGAAAAATCCGGGATAGCTTCACTGTCTCATTCTCTCCTGTTTTGTGAATATTTAACATTGCAGTCAGGGGAGCACACAGTGAAGTCTAAGTGTTGCACAGGAGCTAAACCTCTTTCTCAGTCCTCTGGACGTGGAGCTCTCTGCATGCCAGGTATAGAGTTAGAGCAGTTTCAGCCAAATCACTGAATCCACAAAATGACATTGTTTCTGTAAACTGCAAGATGGAAAATGATAGAAAAAATAGAACCATCAGCTTTCAGTTTTATGTCAGACCATCTTGTATGTTCAGTGAGTAAGGCGCGAATATATTTAATGGCTTTCTAAGGTCACTTTTTATAGTCACTATCATCTCTCTAATCATGTGCCTTCCTACAGGACTGGACTATGAATCATGCCCTACCACGGAGGAATGTGAAAACAATGCAGTGGAATCTTTCTGGAGGATGGCCTCAATCACTGTAAATAGTGCATTAGTGCTGACTTTGTACATTAGTGTGTCCTGGGTGGTTCAGGAAAACATCGCCGGATCGAAACAGATTCAAGTTTCTAACTGTGCTAGGTTATTTCCTCTGATAAAACTACACTTTTTTAGACTGGGTCCAGTGTTTTAGCAAGAGGAACCTAACTTTTACCTTAGCTAGAGAACGTGTTAAAATTCTGTGTTGGCTTTGTTAATATATATCAAGCATATACTAAGCAGAATAAACACACTAGTTGTCTACTGAATACAGGTCCTAAGTGACATTTGACAGCCTTTATTCACAGATCAAACCCAACACAGAGTGCCAGAATGCTTTCTTCCTATGCTGAAGAAACTACAGGTTTGAGAAAATAGTTTGAGAAGATGCAATGAATTCTTGGCCCCTCTACTGCAGTGACCTGCTAGGGTGCTAGTTTGATATTACTTTCACAATTCTGATACTCTTCTTGGTAAAATTCTTTCCTTTATCATTGTTGCTTACCAAGTCATATGACAAATCTGTAAAATGAGTTCTGAAAAAAAAATTGTTATGTATTGCAGTACGCACGGCACAGCTCTGGGGTGATACATGTCTTACTGAATGGTTCTGCAGTCGGAGGAGCTTATCCAGACCCAGGGTAAGAAAACTGTCTTATGTATGCATACAAGGTCTGATGCCTGCAAAAATAGGGTCAACCAGTTGTTTGGGTCTTCTGCCACACAAAGCATGGGAAGCGTAGCTGAAAGAGCCTGTTGCATCAAAAGTCTTCTGAGTTGTGGGGACAACTGTTAATTGTCCCCAGCTGTAGGAATTAACATGAAATGGATGAAAACAATCGTTTTGACTCCTGCATTTTACAGACTGCTGTGGCAAGCAGGATGAATACTCTTTGAAAGCAGCCTTCAAGTCAGCCAACATACTGTGGCAAAATGTGTATGTCTTCAAAAAGAGGAGTGTTACAAAATTTCTATTCAGGGACATCTCCAAGGAGAGGACATCGTTACAGGGAGCGTAGCATCTGTCAGGCCTAGAAGCAAACTTCGTAAATTTTATAGCGAAAGTGCTTGGTCCTGCTATTTCTCCATGACCAAGAGAGGAAGTAGTTTGAGATCCATTATGGTTTAAGAAAGAAAAAAAAGCTCATTGAGAAGGGTAATAGCAAGGATTAGCTCACTCTTCTCCTTATTCCGTGTTATATTAAGGACAGATGTATTTTCCATCATTTACAAGTGTGCCACTATGCAGAAGTTCATCTAAGTTTATAATTATGATTTATTGCAAAAGTACACCCTTAAGAACTTTTACTGAATATGTGGCTGTAGTGACTGCCTGTCTTTGATGAAAAATACATCTTTCCTTACCCCAGCAACTGTTCTGTCTGAGGCAGATCAAAAAAAATCTTAAAAAACCACCCCATAGAACAGATCCTGCTCCTGTGTGCTGAGGACTAAAAATAATCATTGAAAAGTTGACTTTATCTCCAGATAGGAGAGAAACAAGAACCATCTCTTCCAAAACATCTACTACCCACTTACCTCCATCCCCCAAAAGGTCCATCTCTGTAACACAACTTCCAGCTAATCAAGAAAACTTATATGGTCTCCTTGGGTTGGTCAGCTGGGATCAAGTCTTCTGCAGATGATAACACCTGGCAACAGGTCAATGCCCAGAATCCCATATAGAGTCAATATTTCAGAAACAGATTCCTTATTTCAGAAACCTCTTGCACATAAATTAATTCTTTTCAACAGTTCCCTGGGTTGTCTGTCTGGTGGTATCATGACCAGTGAAATCTCCACCACCGTAACACAGCCTGACATGAAAAAAACAAAGCCAGTTACTCTGGTTTTTTGCTGTGTGTCTTGTGGCCCATTTATGACTGAATTCATTTAAGACATCTTATTTGAAAGAGACTTAAAGTTGAATAATTAATAGCAGAAGGTAATCTGAAAGATCTACCTGTCTTCCTAAACATCTCTTTGGTCTGTTTTCAGGCATTTCAAATCCACTTCCAAAGTTTATCCTGCATTACTGTTTGTACACTTAAATCATCATTAAGTCACCTCTTACCGTTTCAGTTAAGATTTATTTCTCACTTCACTGCAAAATAACTTTGCTCATTCACACAGTATGAATGGAGTTAGCAGACTTCTTTAATAATATTAGTTGGTTCAAAAATTGGTTTACTGAAGCCAATCGTACATTGTTCCTCCACAGTTTCTGACTCCTCTAGTTAAAGATTCCTTTATATTTTGGAGGAAGCAGCATTTTTGCTGGCAATAACACGTGCATGAATGGGCAAATGAGTTAAAAATAGTTGGAATATTTATTTTTGGTTATATTTTCACAATGTGTTTAGGACAGGCTTGGACACCTTGGACAGACAGGCAAACCTGATGCTGCTGCTACTGGTCTCTGGTTCGCCACTGCTGTAACAGAGTTGACCAGAGCGGGCAACTGTTGGTATCTGCCTCCTCATGTTCCACTGCTCCAGAAGTGTAAAGTAACTTGCTAACTTCATGAACAGGTCTCAGCTGGCCACTAACAGAGCTTCCACGCCAGAGCACCAGTAGTTTGCCTGCAGACACCAGGTGGACAGAGCGGTGGTCACATTGCCACCACTGGTCTCATTAAGGAGGTGACAACTAAGAGTCCCTTCCAGTCTAGCGTGGGTCTCAGAGCATTTAAAGTAGTTAGGAAACACTGCACCCCAGATGTAGACATTTAAGAAGACCCATGATAGGCAAATCAGAGTACACACCTAGGCTCAGGCTTGGACCAAGTATTCATTGCAGACACAGCCCTTAAAAGCTTTCTGAGGGGAAAAAAAAAAGAGCAATTGAAAGGTTGGAAATCATTACAGTACATCTTACTGGGAGGGTTAGAAATCTGTGTCTTTGAAATGCCTGCGTCTCACCAAAAAAAATCAATTCACTGATGTTAGAATAATCCTTTGGATTCAGCATCTTTGCATTAGCTATAAGGAAGAAATTCTTTACTGTGGGGGTGGTGAGGCACTGGCACAGGTTGCCCAGAGAAGTTGTGGATGCCCCATCCCTGGAAGTGTTCAAGGCCAGGTTGGATGAGGCTTCGAGCAACCTGATCTAGTGGAGGGGCCCCCTGCCTATGGCAGGGGGGTTGGAACTAGATGATCTTTAAAGTCCCTTCCAACTCAAACATTCTACGATTCTATGATTTAATTGCCATTTTATTATTTTTTTTAATTGTTATTTAAATACCTATCAAAGTCAATGTACACAAAGCAATAAAGTGGAAGATTCCCTAGGCCGGGCATGGACACGTCTAAAAGTTTCTCCTTTATGGTCTTACGTATCCTAAACAAATACGTCATGTTACTGTTGCTATGATTTTGTACCTAAAAATATATTTGTCTTGTGTCTGTTGTTATTTTTTTATTTAAAGCAAAATTGTATTATGTCTAAAAGCAGTAACTACAAGAATGACCTTTTTCTTTTTTCCTCTGTCACATACTTTTTGTTTTGTTTTTTCATTTTGTTTTTGAAGTTCGCTTCATTCTGGTTCACCTCCAAGTTACAACTTTTTTCAGCTGAACCCCTCTAAGATGAAGAATATTAAAAGTTCTGATTAAATGCCTTTGACCTTTGAGGACATTCAGAATGTGAATCAGATTTTTTCTGCTTTGTGTTGAGTTTGATTGTTGTTGAAAGATATATATGTAAAATCAGGCAAGCCCATATGCTACAGCAGGATCAGAGCGTTGATTAATGCAAAGGGAAAAAAAATTGTTTCTTTTTCATGTTTTTTATAGTTCTAAATTTTTTTTTCTTGAATCAGTTTTTTTGCAGATTATGAAATACCTAATCTCCAGAAAGACAAAATCTCACAAATTGTCATCTGGGTTGTGGATGATATTGAAGGACCAGATATGTAAGTTATGTCTCCCAAAAAAATTAATTTTTCCTTTTTGGACCTGTCTTTAAGATTTCACCTTAGCTTTCTGTTCTATTATATTTGCATAGCAATTAAACTAAAAATATTTTAGATGCTTTCACTAACACAGAAGGCACACCCTGCCATTCCCAGAATTAGACAAAATATAAATAAATTCTAATATTAGGTCTGGAGTCCACCCTTAGTTAGAGAGATGTGTGTGTGGATCTCAGACCTTGAGTAAAGATAGAGCACATACAGTTTTACTAAGAAAAGAGTCAATCTGAATTTCAGATTAAATGCTGGCATGAAATATTTCTTTTGCCTTCCCATATGCATTCTTTTCCTTTTCACCTATCTTAACTGTTTGAAAATTGGTAGAAGCAGAGAAATACCACTGGCGGGCTCATCTTCTCTCAATACTTAAAATCAATCTAATAATAAAAAGCAGGCTTTAAAGAGGTCTAATTTTGCTGTTAATTGAATTTAAAAAACAAACACACTAACTAAAAAAAGCAGATCAGTCCAAACAGAATAGCCTGTTGGTAAATAGCCAAAGACCAAGTGACAATTTTCAACAGAAATGTAACAGAAAATGAACCCTGAAGTTAAAAAACTGAAATCATTAGGCCAGAAATTAGGCCTGGTTTGGGACTGATTAAAGGAAGAATTAAATAGTCTATTCATTATAGCTTTTGTGGGGGTCCCTACAAATGTGATGAATAGGGGGTAGAGGACCAGAAGAAGTCAGTTTTACCCCAACCATCTGCAGGGTCCCTGCAGTTAATATAACATGGTGGCACTTCATTGGTCTTAAAGCTGCCCTGGCTGAAGAGGGCCAGAGAAATGGGCTCAGATGTCACCATATCCACCACTGGTGGCTGAATCCCTGATGTCATCTGCATTCTTAGGAGCATGAAGCTTCTGTTCTTGCTATTCAACGCTTTTTAGTTGCATCCATTCATTTTGTGTCATTTCCCTTTCATGTCTCATCTCTTTCCTATCTCCTTTTGCTTCTTTTTCATTCAATTTTGGCATGACCAACCCAGACCACATATTTTACCGTAGTGCTGTGGAGTCTACAAAGCATAGTTCAGATTAACATTTCTCAGCTTTTCTCTTTAAATCAAAGAATCATTGGTTCTGCTGGCAGGAGAAGGAGTGAAAAGGATTCTTGCTTGAGTTGGTGGGCCTCATCAAGGTGGCTTTAAACTAGATTCGAAGGGGGAAAGGGGATAAAACCAGGCTCACTAGAGGTGAGCCTACGGATGGCATGCTGATGTTGGAAGCGAAATCGATAGCCCAGCTGAAGTGCATCTCCACCAATGCACGCAAGCATGGGCAGCAAACAGGAGGAGCTGGAAGCCATTGTGCAGCAGGACAGCTATGACTTAGTCACCATCACAGAAACATGATGGGATGACTCCCATGACTGGCGTGCTGCAATGGATGGCTATAAGCTCTTCAGAAGGGATAGGCATGGAAGGAGACGCAGTGGCATGGCTCTGTATGTTAGGGAGTGTTTTGATTGTATAGAACTCAATAACTGTGATGACCAAGTCGAGTGCTTATGGGTAGGGATGAGTGAAAAAGCAAACAGGTCTGTTACAGACCACCCAACCAGGATGAAGAGACAGATGAAGCATTCTACAAGCAGCTGGCAGAAGTCTCACAATCACTAGCCCTTGTTCTTGTAGGGGACTTCAACTTACCAGACATCTGCTGGGAGTATAACACAGCAGAGAGGAAACAGTCTAGGAGGTGTGTGGAAGTGTGTGGAGGATAACTTCCTAACACAACTGGTAAGTGAGCCCACCAGGGGAGGTGCCTACTTGACCTGCTGTTTACGAACAGAGAAGGACTGGTGGGAGATGTGGTGGTCAGAGTCCGTCTAGGGCTTAGCGACCATGACATGATGGAATCCTTGATTCTTGGTGAAGTAAGCAAAACACTACCATGGACTTCCAGAGGGCAGACTGTGGCCTGTTCAGGTTGAGAGAATCCCTTGGGAGACCATCCTGAAGGGCAAAGAGTCCAGGAAGGCTGGACAGTCTTCAAGAAGGAAATCTTAAAGGCGCAGGAGCAGGTGGTCCCCATGTGCCAGAAGAAGAGTTGGCGGGGAAGATGGCCTGACTGAACAGGGAGCTTTTGCTTGGACTCAGGGAAAAGAGGAGAGTTTATCACCTTTGGAAAAAGGGGCAGGGAACTCAAGAAGAGTGCAGGGATCTCATTAAGTCATGCAGAGAGAAAATTAGAAAGGCAAAAGCCCAGCTAGAACTCAAATCTGGCCACGGTCGTAAGGGACAACAGAAAATGTTTTTACAAATATATTAACAGCAAAAAGAGAGCCAAGGAGAATCTGCAACCCTTATTGGATGCGGGCAGGGGGACACATTGTCACCAGGGATGAGGAAAAGGCTGGGGTACTTAATGCCTACTTTGCCTCAGTCTTTGATAGCCAGACCAGGTATCCCCAGGGTATTCATCCCCCTGAGCTGAAAGACAGGGATGGAGAGCAGAATAAACTCCCCATAATCGAAGAGGAAGCAGTTAACAGCCTGCTACACCACCTGGACACGAACAAGTCTATGGGGTCTGATGGGATCCACCCAAGAGTACTGAGGGAGCTGGCAGAGGAGCTTGCCAAGCCAGTCTCCATCATTTATCAGCAGTCCTGGTTAACAGGGGATGTCCCAGGTGACTGGAGGCTTGTCAATGTGACGTCCACCTACAAGATGGGCCAGAATGAGGATCCAGGGAACTACAGGCCTGTCAGCCTGACCTTGGTACCAGTGAAGGTTATGGAGAGGTTCATCTTGAGGGCACTAACAGGGCACATGCAGGATAACCAAGGAATCAGGCCCAGCCAGCACAGGTTCATGAACGGCAGGGACTGCTTGGCCAACCTGATCTCCATCTATGACTAGGTGACCCGCCTAGTGGATGAGGGAAAGGCTGTGGATGTTTAGTAAAGCCTTTGACACCATGTCCTACAGCATTCTCCTGGAGAAACTGGCAGCTCGTGGCTTAGACAGGTGCACTCTTCCCTGGGTAAAGAACTGGCTGGATGGCCGAACCCAGAGAGTTGTGGTGAATGGCGTTAAATCCAGCTGGCGGACAGTCACAAGTGGTGGTCCCCAGGGCTCAGTATTGGGACCAGTTCTCTAATATCCTTGTCAATGACCTGTATGAGGGGATCGAGTGCTCCCTCAGGAATTTTGCAGATGACACCAAGTTGGGTGGGAGTGTTGATCTGCTGGAGGGTAGGAGGGCTCTGCAGAGGGACCTGAACAGGCTGGATCAATGGGCCAAGGTCAGTTGTATGAGGTTTAATAAGGCCAAGTGCTGGGTCCTGCCCTTGGGTCATAACAACCCCATGCAACGCTACAGGCTTGGGGAGGAGTGGC